TAAACTTTGCAATCAGAATGTCATTGTATCATGTGAATCATGTATTATATAAATTAACAAATTTTGTATAAATTTTTTTTTTCTGACTTATTCAAAGTATGTCTAGACACTGGCTTTTATGATTCAAAACTTCACAGTTTCACTTAAGAGCACTCAAAACTACAAAGCACTCAACTTTTAGTCATGAAAATACTTCAATATGTGAAAATAGTAAGCCGTAGCAAGAAAATTTAAATGAAATCCAAAATTAGCAACATGAATACCAGGAATTTGAAGATAGCAATAATTTTAGTAATACCGATACTGATACAGAATCCTGTTATAGTAAGCCGAGTAATAATAATTCAACCGATTTGAACTAGGATGATATAGAATACAATAATGAATCTTGCAATACTAATTCAGATAATAATACCTCTGAGGATGAAACAACTTTTGTTGATGCTCCAGAAATATTTGATGAGACAAATTTTAATATAACATGGAACCCAGAAGACCAATTTGGCATATTTGAAAACTTCATGATGATGACAATATTTATGTGGGCTATAAAATATATGATATATAAATATTTGCATAAAATTTAATAGATTAAATGAAGCACTTAATTTTAATTACCTTCTCTTTTTTCTTAAGCAAAAACTGCTTATCACAATCTGATTCAAATTTTACTTCATCCACAATTTGATAAAAATCATTTAATTACTAATTTACAAATACTTAAAAAATATCAGGAAAAACTTCCTTTAATGCAAATCTGAAGTCACAAAGTTCTAATTAACCCTCGAAGCACACTATCTACGACCAAACCTTTTACAAAAGTTTATTACTTTTCTTTGATTAAGTACCTACATCGTATATTAAAAAATCCTAATATTAGTTCTCACTTATATTTTGGACCAGAAATCCTTTCTAAGTCATGCGAAGAATTGTGAGAAGGAAATCTTTGGGCCAAATTACTTCTTTTTGGCCAATCTCATATAACAACATCATGAGGTAAATAATAATTAATTAAAATATTATAAAATTAAATAAGTTGATATTAATAAAAATTTTTATCTTATTTAGGATCTTTTAAATGTGGCGATTTCGTTTAATATCATTTTTATGAAGG